GGTGATGCTAGGGGTACAGTGGTGATGCTAGGTGTACAGTGGTGATGCAAAGGGTACAGAGATATAAGGGGTATAATCATACAAGGGGTACTATAATACAAAGGGTACAATAATACAAGGGGGTACAGAGATACAAGGGGTGCAGAGATACAAGGGGTACAATAATATAAGAGGTACAATAATACAAGGGGGTACATAGATACATGTGGAAAAGAGATACAAGGGGTACAATAATACAAGGGGGTACAGAGATACAAGGGGGTACAGAGATACAAGGGGTACAATAATACAAGGGGGTACAGTAAGGCAATGAATACATAAGTGGCACAATGAATGAAGGTCTGTAGTGAAGTAAGAACCACAGTGATGAAGAAAAGTGGGACCATTGGTGTTGTGTTGCATTAGAACAGTGACAGCAAAACAGTGAAGACGGACCACAGTGACATTATGCTGGAGGACTACCACAGTGACACTATGCAGGAGGACTACCACAGTGACACTATGCAGGAGGACTACCACAGTGACACTATGCAGGAGGACTACCACAGTGACACTATGCAGAAGGACTACAGTGACTGTTTTAAACACTGGTAAGAATGATGCTGTTAGGCGGATGTATAATGATGAATATGACACTGGTGTACATCTGTAAAGAGTACACTAGCTTATGTGGGTACATGAGTACACTGGTGTACACTAGTTTATGTGGGTACATGAGTACACTGGTGTACACCTGTGCACCAGTTCACAATTGAAAAATAAATGAATGGTGCTCTGCCATTTTTAGAGATCATGATTCATAGAATCGGTAGCAGTTTCAAATTCAGTGTATATAGGAAGCCTACCAATGTGTGCTCGTATGTTCATTTTTACTCAAATCATCCTATTCAGGTTAAGCGGGCAGTTTTTTCTGGTATGTTTCTCAGAGCCCTGAAGGTTTACAGTCCGGAATTTTTTGATGAAGAAATAACGAATATATTTGAAATTGGGAAAAAGTTAAAATACTCAAAATCGGTATTGGATCTTGCGTTTGGTCAAGCAAAAAGGACGTTCTACAAACAAGCTCCCAAGTCTAAACCAGAACTGAAAAACTCGTTGATATTACCATATTCTGATAGTCTAGTATATCTGGCCCCAGCCCTGAAAAACCTTAATATGAACCCAGTGTTCAAAAATGATAATACAGTTAGGTCCATGTTAATTAAGAACTCGCCCTCGTCTGTAGCAGGTTGTGTGTACTCCATCCCTTGTAATGAGTGTGCATGTGTTTACATCGGTCAGACTGGCAAATCTCTTTCCTCGCGTTTAAAACAACATTCATATGCTATTCGTACAGCTCAGCACTCCAGTGCATTGTATTTGCATTCTAGTTTGTGCAATCATTCATATGCTATTCATATGAATGATTGCCCCCTCTACTTCAGAGGGGGCAAAATGCATTGTTAAAAGTAAGGGTTTTGTTGAACGAAATGTGATCGAGTCTGCTTTAATCAAATACTGTAACAACAGCCTTAAAGTGAGCCCTGGTATTTACAAGTTGGATCCCCATATAAGCCTCAATATAGCACGTCAATACAATATAGCATCCATTTAACTATGTATAGCACTTTTATATATCTTCCAGTTCTGTTTATTAATGGGAGCTGCCTTAAATGAGCCAATGGGCCCTCTGCAATTACCTTCTTTCTTACATTTCCTTTCCTTCACCATTTCTTGGTGGTCAGGTGATCTGCCCTGGCGGGTATAAAGGTCTGATCAACAATGTTTCCACCTCGGCCACCATTTGGTCACCATTTGGTCCGGGAGACATCTCCCGTCACGCAGGGTGCAGTCGCACCTCCACAGATCTCCAGTATCAGCTCTTGATACTGGTAATGGCTCAAAAGGGCCACCACTTACGGGCTATTCATGCCCGTGCCACCTTTTGGGTGGCTTAATCTTCATCAATCAATCAATCTTCCTCATCACACGCGGGAGACATCTCCCGTCACGCAGGGTGCAGTCGCACCTCCACAGATCTCCAGTATCAGCTATTGATACTGGTAATGGCTCAAAAGGGCCACCTCTTACGGGCTATTCATGCCCGTGCCACCTTTTGGGTGGCTTAATCTTTATCAATCATCAATCTGTTTCCACCTCCATTCTACTTTGCTCTGATGAAGGCGATGTAGCCGAAAACGCGTTAAGCATTCTATATTTTTCACATGTGGTTTTTCCGCATACTTAGATCAGTGTTTTTTTATTATTGTTGCATACTGTGGATGCTTTATGTTATTCTGCACCGACCATGCCCATTCCTCCACTTGTTCACATCAATCAAGTTCCCCCCCCCTCCGCCCATTCCTTTGGCGACAAAATGGTTACTGTACCTTAAACATTTGTGCAATATTAGAAGTCAAGAGCCAGATCCAGTCAAAACCAACCAGGGCTATCATTTAAGACAGTGACTGATTAAAGTAGACTCAATCAAATTTTGCTCAACGAAACCGCCGCTACGGGCAATGCTTTTGATGCTCTTCAATATCTTCCAGCCCCCCTCGAGTCCCATCTCCAACTTTTTTCCCCAAGATCCCATCTCTCCCTTTCTTTCCCCTCTCATATCCACCTCTCCTCCCCTCTCTCACAGTCTCCCCCCCCCCCCCACCCGTCTCTCACCTCTCCTCCCGTTCTTTCTTCCTCTCCAACTGCCTCTCTCTTTTTCTCAGGAAAATTATATAACAGAGCACAAACTGATGAATAAGTGTACAGATAACACAACCAATATTTCAGACTTTATGCCACAAAACTCACATGGGGTTGGAATCTCTATATAAAGGGATATATTTTTTAAAGTTTTTAACGTAAGAGTTCTCTGACTAGCCTATGACGATCTCCTACCCGACATGCTCATGGGGGTAGTTTGGTTGAGGTGAGCCCTAAGCCCCTGGCCTCCAACCTTGGACAGACATTCCCTCTCTTATAAATATAAATAGAAAGCAATTAATGCAAGGCTTTGCTCCTCTTGGTGATATTTTATTTCATACCACCTCCAGCACCTCTTAGTTTTTCTATCCCTCTCAAATGAGTAACTTATCTTCGCACAACCATAAAGACCTGACGTCTCTTGATGAGTTTCTCGTACACTTCTCTGTTATTTCAAGTGAATGAGTCCTCTCCTATCTTTATTTAAAATCCGTGCTACTTAACTGTAGTTTTATCTTGATGATGCTGTGAATCAACTTTGCTTCTGCTGGAATGTCCATTCCTAGCTGATTTTCTGCCATACTTCTCACTCTGAGATATTCATTCCTGACCCCATGAAACCCCTCTCTATTTTCTCTATACTTTTATTTAGTTTTTTTTTTTTGTCCTCGTGCTAATGCACGTCGCTTCCTTACAGCTTTTGTTAAATCAAAATCAGTTATTGTCTTTCCTCTGAACTGCTAATTTGCTGACTGCCTGTGAGCAAATCCCGTTAAAGAAGTCCATCATTTACAGTATTGACTTTCCCTTGAGTTCTATCTTTCATGGAATTTTTAACAGACGTTCTCTCATTTCCTCTTACTTTCATCTTTGATATGCCAATCTTTCACCTCCAGGTCTGAATACCAAAGAGGGCATTGCTTTTGCTACAAGGTATTCAAATGCCGCCTCACAGTGGTCCTTTGGTCCTTCCCTGATCCCTTATTACCAGGGAAGGTTAGAAATTTCAGTTCCTCTATATCTCGCTAATTCATTGTGAATATCAGGTAAATCAGGCCATTTTTTGCTATCCTCAGTCTTGTGGGTCTATTGTTATACATAGGAAGTTCCTTGTTTTCACTTCCAAGAATTTAGCTCTCCATCACGAGAGCTCTTTCTAAAGAGCTAAAGACCTTTTTAGATCTTTCTGTGGAGCTCCTTATTCTTCAAATCTTTCTTACCCTGATTGAAGTCCCCTTATGATTAAGATTAAGAGTCGCGACTAATTCCCATTTGCAACTGAGGTAGAAATTACTGGCCTATTGCTCCAGCCATACTCCTGCCTCGGTCTTCTGACGTTGTGTGGAGGATCATATATTACTGCTGCTCTTACCTAGTGTCCTCTCATCCTTATGTTTCTGTTATATACTCGGTAAATCCATTGCATTTTTGACAGCTTCTTGCTCTCTTCCTTTCCTCTGCTGTTTGAAAACAGTAGTCTTGGGGAGTATTGCATAAGTTATGACTCTTGACACTTTCGTTTTTCGTTTTTTTTTTACACAATTACATACAAGTTTTCCTGGAAAGCTTGTAATTCCTTCTGTAATTAAATGTCGGTGTACAAGACTATTTATCACACTTTTCTCTTTGTATTCTTACGTGTAAGTTCCATCGTCTTCCATTCCCTGTAAGGGAATGGAGGACGATGGAACTATACACTTCCTTCACTATACAAAGTTGTATAGTGAAGGAGTTGAAGGGGTTTGGTGCTATTTACTATTTTATGGGAATTTAGGGGTGAAGTAGGGGAAGAGGATCAGAGAGGATATGAAAGAAGAGTAGACGAGTGGGGTGTGGATTAAATGCATGGGGGGTGTTAGGTATTATCAAGCTGTGAGCGGGTGTGAGGAAATGAATGATTTATGCTGCTGCTGTTGTGGTTGATCCTGGGGTGGTCGAGTTGGAGGATGAAGGTTTTTCATTCCCTTCCCTTTCCCTGCACTTTAATTGCCTTTCTAGCAGTTGGCTAGTGCTCCTTGCTGCTTTCTGTGAAGTGGTTACATGCATTACTTCCTGCAATGCTTTCTTAGCCTCCGGGACCGTTGCCAAAATCTCCGTAAATGTAAACATTCCTGATGAAGGTTCTTTTTCTGTTCAGTTGCTTACTACATAGTACAGTTTACTGCAAAAAAATGCACATTGATATAGTGCCCGTTGACACAGTGTAATATAATGCAATGCACAGTGATAGAAAACAAACATACGGTGGACATTAAGAAGAAAAGCTCCCAAGACACGAGAAACACAGTGACAGACTGTGCCTAACAACTCTGCCTTACACGTATCTCTGGGAGATATCCACGCCCTGGTTGTAGGCTGTGAGCACCAGCTCCTGCCACGATACGTCTCCGCCGCCCATTGCTTCCTTGACGGCTTCCAATCGCTCCTTGATCATCTTGCATGCCTCGGCCACCACCTGGAGAACAGTCTCGGCTTAGCAACAACCAGCCGTTACTAACTCAGGTTCATTCAGTAAGTAAATAAGAAAAGACTATTGTTATATATTCATATTACGGAATTTTGTTATTTGCATTACAGCACATTCTATAATACTCTTACGGACAAATCTTTCATTTGCCTTTCAAATCTTTCAGTATACCCTAATCTACCTAACATTACTGGCCAGGAATGACTAAGATTTAATGAGTTATCGGATAAAGAACACTTCCCTTATTGTAGATGAAGATTGTACTGATGATGGGCGCTGTTTACACCCCACAACACCGAGTTTATAGGGAAAATTGTGGAGCGTATTGCAGCTCCAGCGAGATGTTTATTTACGTTAAATTTAATGGCGCCTCCCTCCCACTCACGCATCGAGCGTCTTGTCCAGACGTTTATCAAGAAGTGGAAGGAGGTTTTATATTTAAGATGTTTTAGTACTGATTATTGAGATCGTTCATGGGAAATGTTTTTATGATGTTTACAGTCCAGACATTTTTGTTTAAGATAAATTTCTAATATTTCAACTGGTGAATTTAATAGTGACGTGGCAATGATATTCCCATATTCTTCCGGGGAAAATTCCACTGGATTCTCGTTTTCTTTGAATGAATAAATTAGTACACTATCCGCAGTAACATTAACTACATATTATATTAAATGTTAGTAATACTGTCTTTTTTCCGATAGAAGTAGGCCTATTATAGTGTTCGGGATACTCATGTGGTAGTAGGCTGCAGTGTTCCAGCCTCACATGGAAAAGAAGGCCTATCCTTTGTGTAAAATGACTGAACTAATGTCACTGACGTTCATGAGTCTCTCTGAGTGAGAATAGCGCTATTAGCCTTTATTATAACGAGTGTTGAGCCGATATGAGTTAACGTGTTGATGCTAACATCGCATGTGACCATAATGCAGGCTGCAACATATAGAACATACACAAGGACTTGTGACTCACGTAGCTAGCAGTGTCGGAGCCAGTTGAGCCCCCAGTGCAGGTGGAGTTGGGGTTGGTGTGGGTTGTGGTGGGCATTACGCTCACATACTCCAGAGGAACACCGAGCTCATACGCGGCACACTGGGCTGTCTGCAACACACAATATCCTCACTAAAATTTTATAACACGAGAAAAGTATGAGATCAATATATGGAGATGCGGACTGACTAGTAAATATGTTCCGGTGGTGTCAAAGTTGAAGATGAAAAGTGAACAGGACATGAAGATCTAGAGTCAGACAGATGGACACAAGCATCTGTGTCCATCTGCTTGACACAAGCAAACTGAGAAAGAGCCAAGCTGACCTTAGTGTTGATACCCTGCCCCATCTCAGTGCCACCGTGAGAGATTGTCACGGTGCCATCGTGAGCGTCCACAGCGACCATGGCACTGAAGGGCATCACCAGGTTCACGCCGTATGGCCACAACATGGGCATCACTGCCAGACCCCGCTTCTTCCACAGGTTCTCCTGAAAGGGCGAGAGCAGGACGTAACATTATATTACACTCCTAACAGTTTTGTTTAAACAGAACATGCATGATGACTGCCTTATCACCGACTCGTCTAAATTAGCGAAATCTAGAGAACACTCACGAAATATTTTTGAAAAGTTGAATTCTAATATACAGATCATCTTAGACGATTGGCATCTACAAAAATGTGATACTTAATAGTTGAAATCTATGTATATATCTAAAAAAAAAATGGAATAATTCAAAGACGGTGGTCTTTCGTTGAACGGTGAACTGATATAATAACTGTCATCTCCTGCACTGACCTTGTTGAACTGGGTGATATCTGTCTTCCGACTCTCCACATCAGCCGTTACCTTAATCTGCTCAATCATGTCCGAGAGGAGATTTCTGGGAACTATGATTTCCTCTGGTATTTTCGACATTTCTGTGAACGTGTTAGAGCTGGAATAGTTAACATGTCACCTTACGAGTGGGCTCAGCAAACTACTTGTTTGTGCATTAAACATGATGAGTACTGTGGGCGGCCTGGCGGATCTGTGGTGGTTTGAGGACATTATTGAACAAGATGTAGCAGGAGGTTATCCTCTTGAGGGAGCATGCGAACAACAAGGACAGACTTTAAACAATCACTAACTCGTCGTGCCATAATGGATAACGGTTTTAAAAATACCATAAAGAAACATGGTGTCCCTGTCGTGAAAACTTCTAATGCGTTATCTGCGTCCGAGGACGAGTGGTCGAGGGAGGTGACACAAGCAACTGCAAAAGCAAGTAAGAGGATCTTGTTTGAGAGGATGTGCATGATAAATATATGGGAAGGATTTTCTGGCTAAGAATAGGATAAGTTAATAATTTACTATATGGGAGTGGTTAGTGGGAACATTGCTGACAGTAAAGATAAAGTTAAGGCTCTTGATGTAAAGAGAACACATTATTAGGCCAGCCCGTCTGTCTAAGATTTCCCAACGTCAAGAAATTGTCATACTAAAGTGCCCATATCCTAACCTACCAGAGGACCCAAAACAGAAAACGGAGCTGAATGTTAATTTCGCGAGCCACTATTATTTCCTAGTGCGACAATATTTGGTCTTAGATAGGAAATACGTCAAAATGCGACATTCTATTACGAAGAGGGGTTGGATTAGCTTAGTGCAGGCAGGAATGATATTAATCAAGTTTGGAGCAAGGAAACAGTAAACAAGAATAAGACAGGGGCGAGATGCATTGTGTCTTTGTGATGTTATACTGCTCTTAAGACGCTCATACACAAACAATTTGTACCATAAGTAGCTGGCACCTGCAGCGGTGAGTCCCACACTGAGGAACTATAGCAGCGGTGAGTCCCACACTGAGGAACTATAGCAGCGGTGAGTCCCACACTGAGGAACTATAGCAGCGGTGAGTCCCATACTGAGGAACTATAGCAGCGGTGAGTCCCATACTGAGGAACTATAGCAGCGGTGAGTCCCACACTGAGGAACTATAGCAGCGGTGAGTCCCACACTGAGGAACTATAGCAGCGGTGAGTCCCACACTGAGGAACTATAGCAGCGGTGAGTCCCATACTGAGGAACTATAGCAGCGGTGAGTCCCACACTGAGGAACTATAGCAGCGGTGAGTCCCACACTGAGGAACTATAGCAGCGGTGAGTCCCACACTGAGGAACTATAGCAGCGGTGAGTCCCATACTGAGGAACTATAGCAGCGGTGAGTCCCACACTGAGGAACTATAGCAGCGGTGAGTCCCACACTGAGGAACTATAGCAGCGGTGAGTCCCATACTGAGGAACTATAGCAGCGGTGAGTCCCATACTGAGGAACTATAGCAGCGGTGAGTCCCACACTGAGGAACTATAGCAGCGGTGAGTCCCATACTGAGGAACTATAGCAGCGGTGAGTCCCATACTGAGGAACTATAGCAGCGGTGAGTCCCACACTGAGGAACTATAGCAGCGGTGAGTCCCATGAGGAACTATAGCAGCGGTGAGTCCCAACTGAGGAACTATAGCAGCGGTGAGTCCCACACTGAGGAACTATAGCAGCGGTGAGTCCCACACTGAGGAACTATAGCAGCGGTGAGTCCCACACTGAGGAACTATAGCAGCGGTGAGTCCCACTGAGGAACTATAGCAGCGGTGAGTCCCACACTGAGGAACTATAGCAGCGTGAGTCCCACACTGAGGAACTATAGCAGCGGTGAGTCCCATACTGAGGAACTATAGCAGCGGTGAGTCCCACACTGAGGAACTATAGCAGCGGTGAGTCCCACACTGAGGAACTATAGCAGCAGTGAGTCCCATACTGAGGAACTATAGCAGCGGTGAGTCCCATACTGAGGAACTATAGCAGCGGTGAGTCCCACACTGAGGAACTATAGCAGCGGTGAGTCCCATACTGAGGAACTATAGCAGCAGTGAGGGCCCATACTGAGGAACTATAGCAGCAGTGAGTCCCATACTGAGGAACTATAGCAGCGGTGAGTCCCACACTGAGGAACTATAGCAGCGGTGAGTCCCATACTGAGGAACTATAGCAGCGGTTAGTCCCATACTGAGGAACTATAGCAGCAGTGAGTCCCATACTGAGGAACTATAGCAGCGGTGAGTCCCATACTGAGGAACTATAGCAGCAGTGAGTCCCATACTGAGGAACTATAGCAGCGGTGAGTCCCACACTGAGGAACTATAGCAGCAGTGAGTCCCATACTGAGGAACTATAGCAGCGGTGAGTCCCATACTGAGGAACTATAGCAACGGTGAGTCCCACACTGAGGAACTATAGCAGCGGTGAGTCCCATACTGAGGAACTATAGCAGCGGTGAGTCCCACACTGAGGAACTATAGCAGCGGTGAGTCCCATACTGAGGAACTATAGCAGCGGTGAGTCCCATACTGAGGAACTATAGCAGCGGTGAGTCCCACACTGAGGAACTATAGCAGCGGTGAGTCCCATACTGAGGAACTATAGCAGCGGTGAGTCCCACACTGAGGAACTATAGCAGCGGTGAGTCCCACACTGAGGAACTATAGCAGCGGTGAGTCCCACACTGAGGAACTATAGCAGCGGTGAGTCCCATACTGAGGAACTATGTTGGGAGTGATGACAACAAGAAAAAAAGGCTAAAATTTACTGATATTGATGTTTACAGTTATTTCTATTTAGAACTTGGGACTTATTAAGAGCGAATCCTGGTCGGTGGAAAGCTGTAAACAAGATAATCTTGCTGGTGATGAGGATGAAAAAAGTTTATACACAAATAAAAATATTAAGGAGTACAGTGACCTTAAGTAAAATGATACATTTCTCCAAATTAAATTGTTAAAAATATAACTAATTATTTAAGTGCGCTTGTGTGCAAATAAATAAATGATATTATTGTGATGAAACAAACATTGATGAATGTAGATAACAGGGATCATCCTCGCTATACAAACTGAATAATTACAAAAGGTTTCACATTCACAGCCAGAATAGATACATGTTGGAACGTAATAATATATGTCAGTCAAACTGTAAAAAGTTGTGATAAACACGAACTCATATCTGACCTAAATACGGAAACCATTTGAACTAAACTAAATATAATTAATGATTGACTAGTAATAGGTCATGCAACCTGGCAATATAGGCAGGATGGCATATATTTGAAGAAATGTTGTAGGCATCACAATCTAGTAATGTTTGCATTTCACGTGACTAATTTGAGTAAAATAAACCGAGCCAATAAAATAAGGAACGTCGAGAATAAAGAATTTTTAGAAATAGAAGAAGACATCTTTCTTAAACACTCGATTATTGAGCAATCATATGAGAACAATGTATTAGAGTTCATGCCGACCAGCAGTGAAACACTAGTAAATAACATGGAGAACAATGTATTAGAGTTCATGCCGACCAGCAGTGAAACACTAGTAAATAACATGGAGAACAATGTATTAGAGTTCATGCCGACCGACACTGACACACTAGTAAATAACATGGAAATAGGGAGTGAGTTAGGAACTAGAATCATAAGAGAATAGTGTTTATAATAGCAAGGAAACGTTATGGAGGAGAAAGGGCTGATAAAGTTCTAGATTTTCGCCAAGCAGACAACAAGGAAGCGAAGAGTCAGGCGGGAACAGACCTTAATATAGGAAACGGACATCACTTGGACTGAATAAGGACACGGCAGCGGGGCCCCGCCGCTGGACCACGATGTGCAGGAGCACAAAAACTCATCTAAACCTCCTCAACAAAACCCCAGAAACAGAACACAAATTAATTAGGCCGAATAAAAAATACCAATAATGGACAACCAGATACCAAAGAATCTTATCGTAAAAAAAGGCCACACCCAAAGGAATTATGAATGTAGAAGCTTATCCAGAAATAGCAATCCATCACACAAGCAAGAACTGTTCAAGAGAGAAGCATGTTAAGCAAAAATATAAGTACGGACAGTTAAAAAAATCAGTGGCAACCTCCTCAAAACCCTCATACAAACCCTGTCACGTATTGTCCTCCTACAGGAATTCTGTCCAATCATGGGTTCTTAAGTCCATATCAAGTGTTTTTAAGAAAGTAAAAAATACTTACTACTTAATTAAATATAACAAACATTTAAAATAGGCATATTGCAATTGTTTAAAGATAAAATAAAGTATACATTTGTAATAAATAAATTTACACAATAAAAAATAAAGTAATAAGTTTGTCATTGTTTACAATTATTAACATGTAACAAGATATGATAATTATAAGGTTAAGTTAAAATAACAGTCACACAAACCCCCTCACTCAAACCCCTCATATAAACCTCTCAGACAAACCTCTCACTGACACACACACCATAGACTAACTACATTCGGTACGGTGTGAATTTTGACAGTGTGATTATTGCTTACTTGGGTAAACAAAGAGTATTAATGGACATGTTGTTTACTTTGATAGACTGGAGAAGGCCTTGATCTGAATTAATTTGATGAACTAAAATCGGAGGACAGGAATTGGAGCTCGGTTAACGTCCTGATAAACATTTAACTATGTTAGAAATATAGTGATCTTAAATCTCAGGGGATTTGGTCTGATAATAAAGAACTTGTACAAATGAGCTAAGCAGGGAACGAGAGTTGAAACTCGGTAACTGACTTGATCTTATTTCCTGTGTCTGAAATACAGGGGGTTTAAATTTTAGGAAAAACTGATGGGTTATTAACGTAGATACGAGAGAGAGCTAAGGCGGAGGACAAGAGCTAGAGTTCGGTAAATCTGTTATCTTTACTTACTCAGTTAGAAGTATGGCGGGTTTAAATTGCATGAAAATTAATGGGTTATTAGCGAAGATGCACGAGGGAACTAAGACTGAGGACGAGAGATGGAGCTCAGTAACTAAATTATTGTATTGTACTACGCTTGAAATATGGCTAATTAAAATTTTAGGGTGATTGGACTGTTAGTAAAGAAGTTACAGGGATAATTTAAGGCGGAGACAGGAGCTGGAGCTCGGTAACTAAATTATTGTATTTTACTACGTCTGAAATAGCTATGTTTTAAATCTCGAAGAAATTGATTGGATACTAAAGAAGTTGTATTAGTAAAGTAAGTTGGGGAACAGGAGCTGGAGCTTGCTTACTGAATTGATTTGATTTACTACGTCTGAAAAACGACTGTTTAAAATTTTAGGGGGATTGGACTCTTAGTATTCAATATACGACAGGGGACTAAAGCAGAGACAGGAGCTAGAACTTTCTTACTGACTCGTTGATTTGTGTAAAACTGACTCGTTTAATGTAAAGGAACTAACATTACGATGTCGAAAATAGTTGTACGGAATTATGATTGAAAGGGGGTAAGGTAACAGGTAGAGAGAGGGAGGAGGGACGGTCAAGATAAGATTACGGCGGTGAGTTGGCAGCGGCGTTTGGTGGGAGGGTGTGAGATTGGAACTGGTGACGCTGGGGGTTGGGTGGGAAAGGGGAGGGGGGGATGAGAGGTAAGGTAGGGCTGGGTAATTAATGACGTCTCATGTAGCTTGCTAAAGCTACAGTTTTAGTTATACAGACATACTCGTTTCTAAGTAAGAATTCTACTTAAAAAGATACAGTCTAAAATAACTGTTTATTCTCGGTATGAACTCTGAAAAATTGGAATTTCTCCTATAAGAACTCTTAACAAACTTCTATGAACATATTTTCATCATAAGAACTCCTAACAAACTTCTAAAATCTCGGAAAATATTTTTCTCATAAGAATTCCCTAATTCCAAATCAATTCACCTGTAAACCATGACAACATATCGACAAATGGGGGAAATTTACCTGGAACCCCTGAAGACTTAGCAACAAATGGCGGAAAAAAATTCCATTTGTCGCTGAGTCTTCATCCCTACTACTCCCGTGTGCCTTTTCCACCACTCCATGCACAGTGTATGGAGTAGTGGAGGCAGACTCCACACACAGAGTATGGAGTGGTGGAGGCAGACTCCATACACAGAGTTTTGAGTGGTGGAGGCAGACTCCATACACAGTGTATGGAGTAGTTGAGGCAGACTCCATACACAGTGTGGTGAGGCAGACTATACACAGTATGGAGTAGTAGAGGTTCCATACACAGTGTATGGAGTAGTGGAGGCAGACTCCATACAGAGTATGGAGTGGAGGCAGACTCCATACACAGTGGTGGAGGCAGAGGCAGACTCCATACACAGTGTATGGAGTGGTAGAGGCAAACTCCATACACAGTGTATGGAGTAGTGGAGGCAGACTCCATACACAGTGTATGGTGTAGTTGAGGCAGACTCCATACACAGTGTATGGAGTAGTGGAGGCAGACTCCATACACAGTGTATGGAGTGGTGGAGGCAGACTCCATACACAGTGTATGGAGTGGTAGAGGCAAACTCCATACACAGTGTATGGAGTGGTGGAGGCAGACTCCATACACAGTGTATGGAGTGGTAGAGGCAGACTCCATACACAGAGTATGGAGTGGTAGAGGCAGACTCCATACACAGAGTATGGAGTGGTAGAGGCAGACTCCATACACAGAGTATGGAGTGGAAGAGGCAGACTCCATACACAGAGTATGGAGTGGTAGAGGCAGACTCCATACACAGTGTATGGAGTGGTGGAGGCAGACTCCATACACAGAGTATGGAGTGGTGGAGGCAGACTCCATACACAGTATATGGAGTGGTGGAGGCAGACTCCATTTAGATGAAACAAGACGAAAAGTGTTAGGAAGTCTGCATATCAGTTGAAGGAATGTTGAGGCGTGACCCAAGAGCTTAAGCTCAGCCCTCACCAGCACAAGTTGGTGAGCTTACATCTGTAGTGAAGCACTGACCGTTGGTGCTCAGTAACATGAATATTAAACCTGGTGATGATGAGGAAGTGTTACCATGTAAGGTCATGTGGCTCCGTAGTCTCATCACGCCCTTGTTGATCTTCCTGGAGCCTCCGTCAGGAAGCAGGTTCTGCTGCCGGAACTGCAGGGGGTCGACTCCCAGAACGTCTGCCACCTGGTCCATTATGTTCTCCATGAAGGTAATGCCCTCTACCGTGCCTGAGGACCACAAGGAACACACACCATTAGCTTGGACATGTCTTTGTGTACTCACCTATTTGTGCCTGCAGGATCGATCACTAGCTCTTGGACCCTTGATTTTCTAGCCGTTGGTTGTTTAATGCAATGACGCCTGGCGTATTTCTCTATCTAGCTTTTATTTCTCTATCTAACTTTTAATGTTATGAATGGAGTCAGCCTCTTCAACCTGCTTCCTTAGATCATTCCATTTGCTCACTTCCCTTAGGCTAAAAGAAAACTTTCTAACATCTCTATGACACATTCGAGTCTCAGGCTTCCATCCGTGACCCCTTGTTCTATTGTTATTCATTGTAAACGTTTCCTCTCTTTCCACCTTGACGATCCCTCTAAGTATTTTATATGTCTGTATCGTGTGCCCCCGCTCCCTCCTCCTTTCTAACGTCGTCAGGTTTAGTTCCTTCAGTCTCTCTCTTCGTACTTCATCCTTCGTAACTCTGGGATGAGTCTCGTTGGAATTTTCTGCACTTTTTTGAGCTCCCTTATGTGTTTTTTTTAGGTGGGGGCTCCACGATGGAGCTGCATACTCTAAGAATGGCGTCACATGGGCGGTATACAGTGATCTAAAAACCTCTTTATTCAGGTTTCTGAAGGATGTTCTGACTTTTGCCAGCGTAGAGTATGCGGCAGCCGTTATTCTATTTAAATGAGCCTCTGGAGTTAGATCCGGTGTTATGTCCACTCTCAGATTCTTTTACACTATGTTTGTTAAGACCAGAGGCGCAGTGGAGCAAATTCAGCTCCTATAATTTCTCTTGGACGAAGTGTGATGGAGATCAGAGTAGTGTTCTACCATCATCAACACGCTGTCAACATAATCAAGGGAAGTGTCCTACCGAAACCCGTTTATCTAATCATTTCTGGCCAGTTAAATGTTAGGTAGATAAGGGCGAACCGGTTAGAATGCAAACCAGCTTCTTAATAAAGGTAATTAAGCCTTGGTCCTTATTATCTATTATACAGTGTTTTCTCTGATATAGCTGTCATATATTAGGATTCTGGCTTTACAGCTAGTGCCCTTTGACAGGAACAAGAAGAGGAAGCAAGACTTGATACATCAGTTACTGGGTGATGGAAGCTAGCCTCAAACGAGGATAATTTGGTGTCTACATCCTAGTTATACCTGGTGGACTAAGCCTGCTGTACAATAAGATAAGGAACCTCCTCAATGTATACTAATATATCTACTAATATATGTAGTTAATACTGTAGTTTGATTGGCTGCATATATATAAATTTAATATAAACCCCCCCTAATGTGTAAGGATCGATTTGTGAGATTATTGCAGAAATACAGTCCACTTAACATCATACCAATTGCTATCGAAATATATAAATTAACGTAAATATAAATTCTATATAAATTCATATAAATTAAATAAATATAAATCTCACAGGTCGGTTCCCACATTATATGGTCCTTCGAACCGAGATTATATGGTCTTTCGAACCTAGATGGTCTAGAGAGCTAGATTGTCATCAAATTAAATAAACTAGTGTAATAAATTAGTGAACAATACTTAGCCAGTCAAAGACCGGCAGCGTAGCCTCGAGCGAGCTCAGGAGCCCCTCAGCCCAGTTCAGCCTTATTCAGCGGTTTCATGGTCACCCACCGATTTGGTGGCGTGTTATTTCTGTGAAGTGACAGCGCTTATGTTAAAGCCAGCCAAATTAGTGGCTGTGTCCTCGCAAGATTGTTCACGGATTTCGTGGTGTTAATTTCGCGAGAGATTATCCACGAATTTTGTGGAGTTAATTTCGCGAGGTCACTAATAATATTTAATACTTCTAGATAATATTAGAAGTTTCATAGAGGCAATTAAGAGGCTATCATCAATAATTGTGTATATTATTTCTCCAAAATAGAGAATTATTTAATATATATTGCACTAGTGTTCACAATACAATATTTACTAATTGCCAACCCACAACAGGGTAGGATATTACCATTGACTAGTTGAACTATTTATTGTTCATCCTAGTCCCATTATTACCATAGTCTAGTTGTACTATATTAAACAACCTAGCACCATTAATGAATGGTGCAGACCCTATTTTGGGTGTAATTGTTACCAGCTCGAGTTGAGTTGTGTATATATAATAATTTACTTATGATCATTACACCTTTGAGTGATTAATTAGTGTCTATACCATCCTAGGGTGATATTGAGGAGCTAACCTAAAGGTACTTCCAGTGACACTGGTTTATCACTCAAATCATTAGTGTGTATGATTATATATATATAATGTGTATTAATTTTAAGTGCTAACCTCTAGAAGAGGTAGGATTATAGCCTAGTGATAGCAGAATTTTACCCTAGGCTACCATCAGTACTTGTTCAGTATTATGAGCAACCCAAGTACAAGCCCCACAAGGCTTAACCAACTAGCCAGTATGGATAATGCAGGGAGAATGAAAAGAACCCTTGCAGGTCTTAAAGGCCACTTAACAAGACAGATCAAGAAATGTGAAGATTTGTCACAACAATCTCCAGTTGATTATGCTGACCTGGAAAGCTATTATCAAGCAGCTGCAGGTAAATTTGAGCAAATCAAATGCCAAATAGCAACATATGTGGCTGAACTTGCCAACACCAATTTATCAGAAACAGAAATAGACGACATTATGGTTGATCTAGCGAGTTATGAAGATCACACTCAGGCCACGTTACAGCCTTACGTCAAATTAATTGCCCAGAACAAGGCAACAACAACAACAGTTGCATCTAATACGAGTCAAGCAGAGGCTCGACTCCCTCCAATTAATTTACCCACTTTCTCAGGAAAAGACGAGGAAGATTGGGACGAATTTTGGAACAAATTCGTTGACCTTGTGGACTCAAAACAATCTTTACCTAAGAGTAGTAAATTCTCTTATCTTCAAGGCCAATTATCAGGTGAGGCTAAAACAGTAGTATCCCATCTGAGATTAACTAATGACGGCTATGATCTGGCAGTACAACTCCTCAAGGATAATTATGCTGATCCAGAAGTAAGAACATCACATTTAGTTCATGAGCTGTTGCATTTACCCCCACCGGAGGCTTCAGCTGATTCACTCCAAGTCTTCAAGCTGGAGGTAGAATCAATGATCAAGGCCCTCAGCCTGACAGCAGATACAAACGGGGCTGAGTGGGTCTTGAAAATAATTGTCCAGGAGAAAATACCTAGGGACATATTGAGACAAATGAGTGCTCATTACAATAAAAGTATCTTATCCATGAATGAAATATCTGAGGGTTTACGGTCAGTAGTTCATCAATTACGAACACATGACAAATTAAAACCACCAAGTAAACCCTCAGAAACCAATAATAGTAAACCACAGAGTACCAAAGGTACTCCAAATCAATCTAGACAATATAATTCAACACCAAAGTGGAACAGTGGCAGTGTGGGCGTATATGCAGTGGGACCCTCCAAGCCTATAGTTACTGTGTCACCCAAGAACGTGACACCAAAGGGTACTGGAAGCTATGGAACATGTTTGTTCTGCAATGAGAAACATTCAATGTACCACTGCCCTAATTTTCCTGATAGTGACGCCCGTGTTGAGCGACTCAAAGATTTGCAACATTGCACGAGGTGCCTCAGGAAACATAACATCAACGACTGTGATACCCAATTACACACCTGTAATAGGTGTAACAAGGGTCAGCACCATGCAGCATTGTGCAGAGACACCAAAACAACGTCTCCAAACCCCAAGGTGGAAGATAGCATTCCCACCACAGTACAGTACTGCAAGGTGCAACAAACAAAGAGTGTCCAATCGGCAAAGTCTAAAGGTAATACGACTTTGCCTACTGCCCAAATTACCATCCAGAATAAGAGGGCCAAGGTCCATACCCGTGGGTTGTTTGACCAAGGGTCCCAGAGAACATATGTCACTAAAAGGTTGGCAGATGAACTACAATTAAGGCCTGTAGCCCAGACGACAATCAACATCTCAGGGTTTCTAACAGATGCAGGACCTCAAGTCTACCAGGTGGTACAACCATCAGTACGTTTAGGCAGGTACGTCTGTCAAGTACAAGCCATTGTGGTGGACAAAATACCAGTAGACCTACAAGTTCAAGGTCTGAGAGCAACAGCCAAATTCCTGAGAAATAGAGGAATAAAATTGGCAGATAATATTAAGTCTGATCACCTCACCGACTTCGAACTCCTTGTAGGGACAGACTACTACCATCGATTCATCGGTAGCCCTACTAAATATCAGGGCATAACCATGCTAAATTCTGCAGGAGGCAAATTACTCTCAGGCCCAGTATTAAGCCTGAGGAGACCTATGCCTGCAGATAAACAATACCAGTAGAAATCTAAATTTGTCAGCTGATTATATTTCTCCAGTAGCATTATACTAAGGAGATTACAGCTGACTATAGCAACAGAGGTTGATGTTAATATCATCATTTAAAGCTGAAGATGAGTTCATGAGGCCTCAGTGGCAAATCAGTGAACAGTAGCCTAAACAGCTACAAGTCACTGCGACCAATGTCACTGAACCCACTGCAGTCTCAGAACCCATACTTGACTTTAATGATGGGCTATTCAATCCTCTGAATCAATTAACTAAATTAAACCCCAATAAATCTGATGACTGATTTTGATACATTTATTATTTAATCAAGATGAATTCCATGGGCCTCAGTGTTTATATATCAGTGACCAGTTACCTGAACAAGCTTCAAGTTATATCTAATGTCACTGATCTCACTGCAGTCCCTGAATCATACTTGACTGTAGTACTTGATCACATTCAGTCTTCTGGGTTAAATAATATGTATTTAGGCTTGAATTTTAGCCTTTCAAGAGTTAACAGGGAAATGAAATCGCATTAGACTTCTAACCCCTGCAACTCTAGTACGGGACATCCGTCCTGTACGAACAGATGCACAAATGTGTGATTACTAACTACTAACATCAAATTAATCTAATAATTCGAAGGAGGAGTATCAGTGTTCATCTGTTCTAAATAGAACTTCGACCCGTGAGCAGCCCCCCCCCCCGGAATTATGTCGGAAAACCCGACACCATTTAATAATATTACATTCAATTTGCAGATAATATTGCTGCTGTTTGTATACACAAGTTACCCATAGAAAATGTAGCTTGTAGTGGAATTTTCCGTCAATAGAAAACGGGATATCATTGCCACATAGTACTATAAATTCACCACCTATTGTGTTGGGAATTATTCTTAAATACATTAGTCTTTGGACTTTTACCATCATAAAAACATCTCATATGAATTAACTTAATTATCAGTATCAAAATAAAGTAAATGTGACCCTTCTATCAGTTACTGACATCTCTACAAAGTGCCAGAGGCATCAGTGAGGAGGAAGAGGTCAGCCATTGTTGTTAAGACCAGAGGCGCAGTGGAGCAAATTCAGCTCCTATAATTTCTCTTGGACGAAGTGTTATGGAGATCAAGTAGTGTTCTACAATCATCAACACGCTGTCAACATAATCAAGGGAAGTGTCCTACCGAAACCCGTTTATCTAATCATTTCTGGCCAGTTAAATGTTAGGTAGATAAGGGCGAACCGGTTAGAATGCGAACCCGCCTCATAAATAAAGGTAATTAAGCCTTGGTCCTTATTATTTAATATACAGTGTTTTCTCTGATATAGCTGTCATATATTAGGATTCTGGCTTTACAGCTAGTGCCCTTTGACAGGAACAAGAAGAGGAAGCAAGACTTGATACATCAGTTACTGGGTGATGGAAGCTAGCCTCAAACGAGGATAATTTGGTGTCTACATCCTAGTTATACCTGGTGGACTAAGCCTGCTGTACAATAAGATAAGGAACCTCCTCAATGTATACTAATATATGTAGTTAATACTGTAGTTTGATTGGCTGCATATATATAAATTTAATATAAACCCCCCTAATGTGTAAGGATCGATTTGTGAGATTATTGCAGAAATACAGTCCACTTAACATCATACCAATTGCTATCGAAATATATAAATTAACGTAAATATAAATTCTATATAAATTCATATAAATTAAATATATATAAATCTCACAGGTCGGTTCCCACAGAAGTGCCTCAAGGCTCTGTCCTGGGACTTCTGTTATTTATGAATTATTTAAATTCAGGTTTGAAAAGCAATATTTGAAAATTTGCCAATGATACGAAAATCGGGAGGGAAATAAACACAGAAAAAGACTTACAATCTCTTTAAAACTATTTAAATAGAGTTTTGAAATGTTCAAAAGATTGCCAGATGCAGTTTAATACTGACAAATGTAAGGTTTTGAGGCTAGGTAATGATGATAGAGTTACAAGATATGAGCTAGATGATGATGAGATTGCGAAGTCGGAATGCAAAAGGGATCTTGGAGTTATGATTAGTAAGAATTTAAAACCAAAAAAATCAATGCCTAAATGTTTTTAATAAGGCAAATAGGACACGGATTTATTTTTCGAAACGTTAGTAATAAAACACCTTTGTTATTCTTTAGCTATATCATTCTCTTGTTAGGCCCCATTTAGATTATGCAGTTCAGATTTGGTCGCAATACCTTAGAATTTTTTCAAGCGTAGGTTAGACATATGAATGAGTTTGGGATATATAAATAAGAGCTGCCTCGTATTGGCCAATAGGCCCTCTGCAGTTACCTTCATTCTTATGTTCTTAATGTTATTTGTTTGGTCGGCTAACATGAAAGCTTTGTACCATTATGGATAAGTCGGTTAATGCAAGTGTCTGGCATCACCAGAATGCGAGTTCATGTCACTTCATTGCCTCAAAATGATTTTCATATATACATATATAAATAATTTCATTCATCTGGGCCCTTGGGAGCTCGAACCACCGACCCCAAGAGTGTGAGGCAGAAGCTCTATCGATTTTGCTAAGAGTAGTCTTAATAAGGAAAGATTCCAGAAGCAACTAACCTTTGATCAGCTGAAATTTTAGACTCTATGACTACTAATTAAGCTCAGAGGAATTAGTGATCCACGTTCCACGTCTATTTATTCATCAATCCGTCCATCTACCCATCTTACCATCCATATATCCATCTAATCTATTTATCTATCCGTCAATCCACCAATTCATCTATCCATCCAACTATCAATCCTTCTATCATTCTTCTATCCGTCCATCTATTCATCTATCTATTCATCCATCCATCTGTCCATCATTTCATATATATCTTCATCTATCCATCAGTCCACCTACCCACCTATTCATCTACACATCTGTCTATCCATCCACCAATATATGCATCTGTCTACTGTCTGTCACTAGCTGTGCAACCCGTCCTCTTAAAAATAACGTTATTTTTGGCTCATATGCGCACTATGGCCAAAAACTGAGGAAATTTGAAAAAAAATCGGCTCACGAATGTGATGTACTGTCCTGTCTTCTTTTTGAGTCCTCCAGCTTAGTCTGTTAGGTTAGGAGAGGATACTTTCAATTAACGTTTTTCATGACGTTTTGAAACTTTAAGACAATTTCCTGCTCTCCTAACCTACCAGAGGACCCTTAACTTACAGTTTTGGAAAAAATAATTCGAAATTTATTCTCAATTATTTTTCATATTCAAATTACGTCAGTTTTCGGCCATACGTGCAAACGGCTAAATTCAGATGTAATTTGTAAGAGGAAAGGTTGACGGTTAGTCTCTGTTTTTTAATCTTTGTCTTTATCTATCTCTGCCTGTCTATCTATCTATCTGTCTCTCTCTCTTTTATCAAAAATATAATTGTCGTATGTGTTGGTGGTGGGCAGTGAGAGGAGCTCAGTTGAGTGAAATACTAAAAAGAGAAACGTTGCCCGTTACTCTGATAAAGATAATAGTTGCCCCTTAATCTGGTAAAGATAATAGTTGTACCTTATTCTGGTAAAGATAATAGTTGTACCTTACTCTGGTAAAGATAATAGTTGTACCTTACTCTGGTAAAGATAATAGTTGTCCCTTAATCTGGTAAAGATAATAGTTGCCCCTTAATCTGGTAAAGATAATAGTTGTACCTTACTCTGATAAAGATAGTTGCCCCTTAATCTGGTAAAGATAATAGTTGTACCTTACTCTGGTAAAGATAATAGTTGCCCCTTAATCTGGTAAAGATAATAGTTGTACCTTACTCTGGTAAAGATAATAGTTGCCCCTTAATCTGGTAAAGATAATAGTTGTACCTTACTCTGGTAAAGAGAATAGTTGCCGCTTACTCTAGTAAAGAAACATTGATTGAGAAATCTCAGACGCTGTGTAAGGATCGTTTGTTTTAAGTGAGTACAAACAAATTATAGACAACAATAAATTTCTGATAATTTTCCCAAAATCAGTGAATAATAGTGCATATTACTGTATTTTTTAAATATTTAGCTGTGTAGCTGTCAGGCAGTGCCAAAAATCGTCGTGGGGGGTCTGAATGTGGCAAGCTGTTCCCTGTTGAATTCTGGTGACATCAACCAGCCTGTGTTTATCCCGTACCCCAGACTATTTCCTCGGCCAGTTTGGGTGAGGCTAGACCCAACTGAGTGGCCTCCAACTTTGAACATTATGGAAAAACAAAATTGCTAATAAAGGCATAAAAGGGACAGATTGACCAGTGTTCAACATGTCCTCTTAAAAATAACGTGGCATTTTGGCCGTTTACCCGTATTGCCGAAAGTGGACGTAATTTGAAAATGAAAAAAAAATGAAAATAAATTTGGGATTTTTTTTTCAACAACAGTAAGTTAAGGGTCCTCTGGTAGGTTAGGTGGGCAGGAAATTCTCATAAAGTTTTAAAACATTATGAAAAATGTTAATTGAAAGTTTCCTCTTCTGACCTTACTGAGTAAGCCGGACGCCTCAAACAGAAAACGGGACAGTACGTAATTTTTGTGAGTCGATTACATTTCAAATTACGTCCACTTTTGTTCATTGTGCGGCGTATACGAGCGAAAAGCGACGTTATTTTTAAGAGGACAGGTTGAAAAAAGTGCGTAAATAAAAGTGGGTTGTAGTGCTGACCTGGACTCCGACAGGCAGTGTTGGCGGCCGTGTTGGTGAGGACGTACTGAGGGGTGAGCAGCCAGTTGGGGCAGGTGTAGCAGCTGGGGAGGGAGAAAGCAGCGTAAGCAGAGCTGTTGGGGGTGTTCCAGGACCCAGCGTCGCTCGTCAGCGTTGCCTCCACCGCCTGCAGTAGCCCTGCGTCGTCCACTCCCACCTGTATAAGCTCAGCTCATGTCTCAATTGTCCCTCTCTTCTTTCTTTTCTCTTTACCCTTATTTATTTTCCTTTCTCCCTCCCCTGTCTCTCCTCTTTCCCTCCCTCTCATCCCCTTTCTCTCCCCTCCTCTCTGCCTCTCCTCTTCTCTATCACCCTCTTTCTTCAATGTCCACAAGTGAAAGCTGTTAACACTAGGAGAGTGTACAAGCCACTAGTACTGGACTAAAACCAAGCTCTCGTAAGTCAGGCCGAGCCCTGGGCCGGGCTTCCGGGGTAGAAAAACTCTCAGAACCCCATCAAGGTACAACCCAGGTACATGTTCACAACACTAAGACAAAAACAAGTGAAGTTTGGAAGCCAGTTTCCCTCCATAACTATTGTATTTGACAATACACTTAGAAATTATTTTCAAGTTAATTAGAAAAATTATTTACTTCCCCAATTGTAATTCAATTGTAATTCATGAAAATTAAAAAGTTGTTGCCAAAAATAAAACTAGACTCCAATCTGACATTCAAGGAATACGTGAAAATAAACTCCAAAGATCATTTTTGAAATATTTAAATTGAGAAGGAGCTTTGCTGACCTTGTAGGTACAGAGGAAAGGTTCCCGCCAGCCAATCGCAGTCATGTTGGTGCTAAGGTCAAGGGATATCCTAACGGGCCGACGGACCTTCTGGGCGGCGAGGGCGGCCGCTGATGCAATAATATTGCAACGATCAATCTTCCCTCCGAAACCTCCACCGATGCGCTTCACCGTCACATTAATCCTACAAACAAAATACAACATTGTCTTACAAAAACCTTAGATACATTTATTAAATAAAATATTTATTTCCGCTGCAGACAGGACAAAACATCGAGTGAGATTCGGCCAATTGTGATAATCACACAAGAAATTTTCAGCCGTACACAGAGAAATCATATTATCATGATATATCAATGAACAGATTCACAGGAGCCGTGATGAGGGTTCGAACCCATGCGTTGGGTGTTCCCAGGTGCACGCTCTAGTCAACTGCACAACGAAATAGTCAAAAGAATTGCTACCTGGGGCACTACTTCTTTTGACCATGTCATGTCGAAGTTGACTAGAGCGTGCATCTGCGAACACCCAGCGCATGGGTTCGAACCCTCATCACGGTTGTAGTTAATTTGTTCATGTTCAGCTGTATGACTTTTACTTCTCAGCTTTTTTCATGTAAGAACAAGAGTTCTTACATGTACTTACAAGAGTTCTAAAGCCAGCCCAAAACCATCCATAGGGTTTCGGGCAGGTCCTTAATCCTAATTTTCCTTGGAATACGACCCGCCAAATCGTTTAACAATCAGGAACCCATGCAGGAGATCCCTGAAACTTTACTCATGAATGGAAATTCCTGAAATCTAACCTTAAAAACACGAATCTAATATTTCAAAGAAAAGAAATAATATTGTGAATGTAACCGATTATATGATTTACCCAAAATTTCATATTTTGAACACTGCAAAATAGAAGTCAAGGAATTTCCTTCTTTTGTCCATGAGTCTGAGAGCGTTATTGCTCCATCGCCTGAACGGCTTTGAGAATTATGATGAAAATTACACCATCCCATCTTGAGGTTATCTTGAGATGATCTCGGGGCTTTAGTGTCCCCGCGGCCCGGTCCTCGACCAGGCCTCCACCCCCAGGAAGCAGCCCGTGACAGCTGACTAACTCCCAGGTACCTATTTACTGCTAGGTAACAGGGGCTTTCAGGGTGAAAGAAACTTTGCCCATTTGTTTCTGCCTCGTGCGGGAATCGAACCCGCGCCACAGAATTACGAGTCCTGCGCGCTATCCACCAGGCTACGAGGCCCCAAAAAGATAACATTCGAATCTGCTGACTTGATTTTGGCACAACTCGAGTAAAATGAAAGATGTTTACATACAGGCCAAATTATTTTTTTTATGAATTTATCATTGCTGAAATGAAGATGAAGCTGCCCTAGACCCTCCCCCGTGATGATTAATCTGGCTGTTGGAATATCATAATGTAAGATCTTTTTAGATGCAACATAATTTTAACATTGTTTGTGTTCTATTGAGTTTCCTCCTCTTGCCACTGACATATTACCTCTCAAATTGAAAACCACATGTTTTACATTTTTGTCTTAACAAATTACCTGCAGAACTATAATTAGCTGTTCTTGCTATATAAAAGGCGGATGAATAATTGATCTCTATGAATGCTGTCTTCCGTAATGTATTCGTGAGTTTCTGTTGAACTATAAGAATCACTGAAGTCTAAACTAATGTTCTCATGTATATAGCACGCAATACTTCTGTTCTAACAGTAAATTGATACCCAGAAGTTAGGTAACTGTTGTGGGGTTGTATCCTGGGAAGAGCTAGAAGTTAGGTAACTGTTGGGGTTTGTATCCTGGGAAGGGTCAGAAGTTAGGCAACTATTGTGGGGTTGTATCCTGGGAAGGGTCAGAAGTTAGGTAACTATTGTGGGGTTGTATCCTGGGAAGGGTCAGAAGTTAGGTAACTGTTGGGGTTTGTATCCTGGGAAGGGTCAGAAGTTTGACATTGTGGAGGACCTCGATACAAGCGTAAAGTATATAAATACACACAGCCTTCCTGTCCCGCGACAAAATGAACTTTTGTAATAATGATTTTTGTTAATGACCAAACCACACATCAGAAAATGGAGACACGACGACGTTTTGGTCCGTCCTTGACCATTATCACGTCGTGTGAGAGAAGAGAGGATGTTGTTGTTGTTGTTTTAGATTTAGGTACTCAGGATGAAATGTCCATGAAGCACGGGCTATGGTGAGCCCGTAATTGAGTTCGGTTATATGCGATAACCTTGTTACTCTGATATTTTGGTCAAAGTTTTAAATGGAGGTGGGGTTTCCTGCTATTTCCCTGTTTATTTTTTGCTTCTTTATTAGTGCACTGGTTTTTAGTCTCGTTTTAATAACATTATGTTTGTGGCGGATGTATGTGCAGAATGTTCACTAGTGAGTCCCATTCCTTGACGGTTTTTTTAATCATTGTAGTCGCAGTGGAATGTGCATCTAATGCAGTTGTAGTCTTTGGATTAATGTTGAGTTTGATGCGCAGGGCTTCAGAAGCTTCACATTCCAGTAAATAGTGCAACAGTAGCGCCTCTGCTTCTGTTCCACATATATGACACTCTTTAACTATTGGGGTTTATTACCTCCCAGCAGCACTTGTAACCTGAGTCTGTGTATGGCTACTGCAATGTTTCTGGATATATTTTTATCAGGCTTGAAAGAGTAGTACCCAGTGGCTTGTTCGTACCATATCGAAGTAGATCTTTCTTCCCACTACTTTGGCTCTGTGGCGACTTTTGATAGTTGGAAGTATTTTCTTCTTGATTTGCTCCTTAATCTGTATAAAACTTGGAGGTGTTTTAACCTGTACAACAGATAGAGCAGTGGTAGTTTTTACTAGTGCGTCTGCCTTTTCATTACCATCTATGACAATGTGACTTGGTATCCAATTTAGGGTGATTGACAGTCCTAGATTATGGGTTTCTTTTCCCATATGTTGGATTTCTGTGATGAGTTGTATATTACATCTATGTTGACTGGATAACAATGCCTGGAGCGAAGATTTAGTCAGAATGAATGATGATATCATGTAAATTATTCTCAATTGTATAGTTTATTACCTCCTTCAGGGCATATAATTCTGTTTGCAATGTTGAGCACTCACTATTCATGCTCCAGGAAGCTTCATGGTTGGTAGTGTAAACTGCTGCGCCAGCAGAACCTCTTTCTTGATCAGTTGATCCATCTGTGAAGATGTGAGTGGTTGTAAGTCTTGGGATTGTTTCCGTTTGTTGTTTGATGACTACTTTGAGCCTCTTCGAGTCACATGCTGATTTTTTAACTAGTAATCCTTCAATGATTACCTTTAGACTCGATTCTTTCCTTGGAGGAGGCGGCCGAAAGTGTTGATATGGTCTATCTTCTCCTTTGTTTTTAAGGGTTCGTTTCAAGTTCACTTTCTCTAGAATCTTCACTAGATTATCCGTCCATGAACTTGTTTTATATTGAAGGTTTCTCTGAAGCGATCTGTGTATGCTATCTTTGATTGACAGTCTAATGGTGATTCCAACAAGTTTTGCTGTTATGGTGGCTATCCTTTGATTGATCCTGTTTTCTAAGGCAGGTAAGTTGGTTTTCATTCTTAGAGTCTCTCGACGCGTCCATATAGGTGCTCCCAGCATTGTTCTCAGAGCATCATTTTGAGACACTTCCAGTTTCTCCCATTGGTTATCACTGAGGGAAGTAAGAGCAGGAGCAGCATAGTTAATGAGTGACCTAACTGCTTGAACGTAGTACATTTTGAATAATGGTAAAGATGCACCATCTCTAAGACTTATCAGGGAGCGCAAAGCTGTGTTTCTGGTGCAGGGGATGAGTCACAATAACGTGGCTAAGGTATGTTGACCAGACCACACCGTAGAAGGTGAAGGGACGACGACATTTCGGTCCGTCCTGGACCATTCTCAAGTCGATTGTGTCCTGGACCAATTCTCAAGTCCACAATCTTCTTGAGAATGGTCCAGGACGGACCAAAACGTTGTCGTCCCTTCACCTTCTAGTGTGTGGTCTGGTCAACTGTGTTTCTGGCTTTACAACGTTCCCGAAGATGTTAAATTTCTTGAATGAATTTCAACTGGAAGTCTATTATGACTCCAAGGTATTGAAAAAAAGGTAACCCACTCAATTTCATATCCTTGTATTGCGAGTCTGATGTCTTGAGTTCTCATTTTAACGGCCAATGCTGTGGTTTTATTGCCGTTTATTTTCACTGGTATGTGTTCTGCTTCCCTGTTGATAATATCTAGGCATTTTTGTGCATGGTTCCTTGAGCCTATGCCATTGATGATAACCACAAAGTCGTCTGCATAGTTAAGCAGTTTGGCTTTTGGTTCCTTGAGCTTCATGAATTGTTCCATGAGACAGTTGAAGAGGAAAGGGCTTAGTATTCCTTCCTGTGGAGTTCCATTTTCCAGCCCCTATGAGGACGATGTTTTTCCTTGGAATTTGACTGTAGCTTCTCGGTTAAGCAGGCTTCCTTTGGCACAGGCAAGAGCGTGTCATTTGATTTCCTTATCCACAAGGCAGCACAGTGTAGCTGGAGCACTGGCTAACTTGAAGGCTTTTTCTAGGTAAAGCAAAATAAGGATTCCGGGTTTTTCATTGATTTGATCCAGGAATTAGGTAAGGCATTCTGTGGTTCCAACACCTTTTCTGCAAGCAAACACATTTTGGTGCAGTGGATTGGCTTTTTCATTCAATTCGATTAAGAGCCATTCTTTCCACAGTTTTAGCCAGACAGCTTGTTAATGACATGGGTCTTGGATTTCCCGGGTCTTTAGGTTTTGAAATGGGAACTATATTGCACTGTTCCAAGAAAGTGGTCGAGTTCATGTCACCAATACTCTGTTGATGAGATTCAAGAAGGCTTTTTCACCCTTTTCTCCTAGCTTGGCCAGCATGTTGTAAGTGATTTTGTCCTCACAAGGAGCTGTGTTTTTAGTTTTCTTTGTAGCTCTTTTGAGTTCTTTCAGATTGAAATGTTGGTCTAATTCGTCAGGTAAGGCTAAAGCATCATCTATTTTTTCCATCTTGCTGCTTGAAGTCTTTGTTGGTCACTCAGAGTGGCTTGAGGAAGTTGAGTGGAACTGGCTCTTGAAGCAAATAGATTTGCTAACCTTTGTGCTTCTTGCTCTGGATGGACATGATGTGGCAGAGCATAAGA